AATAGCTGGACTAATTTTAATTTTTGGCTGGAAAACCCTTTTATTGCCTCAAAAAATACTTTGTTCCAGTTTGGGACCGACCAGCCAGAGCTTATAAATGTGTCTTAGAAAGGGCAACAGCGGTGTCTGCTCTGAGAGTGGAGACACACAGACTCAAAAATGAGGAGTCAGGTGATTCCTTCAGCCATTCCTGCTGCTAAATCCACCTCTGGAATGGGATGTGGAGCCAAACTCCACCAGCTTTCCCACCACAGCAGCATCTGCACCTCAGGGACACCCGGAGTGTCCGTTGGATTCAGTCTGGGCTCAGTGGGAGGAGTTGAATCTGAAGGTTCCCAAACTCTCCCAAATTGATTATTTTCAGGAGAATCTCGGAGTAAAGCCAACCTGGATTAATGAGCCAAATTAATTAATAGGAATTATCCCTGGAGCAGTGGAGGTGGATTTAGGGCGGGCTCAGCCCTTCTCAATGTCTCTGTGATCCCCTTCCAGGCACCTCTGGCCTCTCAAGGATCTCACCCTGACGACCAACCAGGTGAGAAACATCCCGGAATTCCGGCTCTTCGGGACGGGATTGGGAATGTGGCGTGGTGCCGGAGCTTCCTGAGGGATCCATCACCTCCTTGGGAATTCATGTGGTGCTGGGGGATGTTCCAAAGGATCTGTGTCTCCTTTCCAGAGGCGCTCCCTGATCAAGGACAAGTGTTTCCTGTCGGCCACCGAGTGTTTGCAGAAGCTCATGTGAGTCCGGGAAAATTTGGGATTTAATTCAAGGTTGTTAATAAATGCGGGGGAGAAAATTGAGCTAAAATGGAGGTAAAATTTAGATAAAATAGAGATAAAATTGAGAGAAAATTCAGCTAAAAATCAGCTGAAATTTAGATGACGTTTAGATAAAAATTAGATGACATTTAGATAAAATTTAGATAACATTGAGATAAAGTGTAGATAAAATTCAACCTAAATTCAGCTAAAGTTTAGATAAAATTCAGTTAAAATTTAGCTGAAATTCAGCTAAATTTCAGGTAAAATTGAGCTAAAATTCAGGTAAAATTGAGCTAAAATTCAGGTAAAATTGAACTAAAATTCAGGTAAAATTGAGCTAAAATTCAGGTAAAATTGAGCTAAAATTCAGCTGAAATTCAGTTCCTGCCTGTGGAGTTGGGAGCCCCTTTGCCAGGGTTTTTTCCCGCCCGCAGCACGACGGTGGATCCCAGGGAAAAGCTGCTGATCCTGCAGAAAACCTACGAGGAGCTGGAGGGCACCGTGGGCAGGGTGCTGGGCAAGGACTACAAACTGCCCATGGATGACCTGCTGCCCCTGCTCATGTACGTCGTGTCCAGAGCCAAGTACGTGGCACCTTCTGCTTTCCCAATCCTGCTGCTAAAAACTGGGATTTGGGGGTTTAATTGGCTTTTTCCTGAGCTTTTGGGTTTCTGTGGGTTGGGATCTGCCAGCTCTGCTGGGATGGGGTTGGCCAGGATATAAAGTGACTTCCTGAGTGTCCATCCCTTATCCGAGAGGATAATTCTGGGAAATGGGGTCCTACAAGCCAAAGAATTGAAATTAAAAACTGGGATTTGGGAATTTAATTTGCTTTTTCTCAGCTTTTGGGTTTCTGTGTAACCCCAACCCAGCTGGTGCTGCCCAGGATATAAAGGGATTGGGGAATTCCTGAGTGTCCAGCTCTTCTCCCAGAGGATAATTCTGGGTTGTCCTGGGAAATGGGGTCCTACAGGCCAAAGAATTTAAAATAAAAACTGGGATTTGGGGTTTTAAGGGGCTTTTTCCTGAGCTTTTGGGTTTCTGTGTAACCCCAACCCAGCTGATGTTGCCCAGGATTAAAGGGATTAAGGAATTCCTGAGTGTCCATCACTTCTCCTAGAGGATAATTCCAGGTTGTCCTGGTAAATGAAGTCTCATTTTCCCACAGAAAACAGGGACATGGAGCTTCTGAAGGCTGATTTTTGATGCCTTCAAGGCATCATCTCCCTCCTCCATCTCTTTTCCATTCTCAGCAGGGCACTGGGATCCAGTTTGGAGACTGGGAAGGTCTTGGCCGTGATATTTGTTAATTAGCCCATTAGATTAGAAGGTTATATTAATTATTAGAACCTCAGATTTGTTTTCCTGGCTGGAATGCCTGTGGGTGTAACACATTCCTGCCAGAGGCTTCCAGTGGAACTGCAGGAATTTGCCTCCATCCAGCCCAAGGAAACTGGATCTCCTGGCAAATCGGAGCCAAAATCCTTGGCTGATGATTGTCAAGGATTCCTGGATATGTTTGGCCTCCAAAAAAAAATAAAAAGGGTGGAATATTTAAACTTTTTATATGAAATCTTAGAATTGTTAAGGAAAAGACCTTTAAGATCTTCAGTCAACTCATGTTCATCACTGACCATGTCCCCAAAGTGCCACATCCACGTGTTTTTGAACAATTCCAGGGATGTGATTCCACCACTGCCCTGGACAGCCTGTTCCAGTGCTTGGCAGCCTTTTCCATGGAGAAATTTTCCCTAATATCCAATCCCTGGAGCACCTTGAGGCTGGTTTTTTCTCTTCTCCTGTCAGAATATCCCGTGGCCGTGCTGGATGAGGGAGGTTTTCTAAGGATCTTCCTGGACTGTAAATGAGATCAGGAGGGAATAAAAGAGGGGAAAATGAAGTTTTCTTATGATGGAGCATCAATAAGTTGTGGCTGCCCCATCCTTGGAAGTGTCCAAGGCCAGGTTGGAGCAGGCTGGGATAGTGGGAGGTGTCCCTGGATGATCCTTAAGGTCCCTTCCAACCCATTTGTCCTAACTGGGACCATTTCTTTCCCCAGAATCCAGCACCTGGGAGCTGAAATCCATCTGATCAGAGACTTGATGGATCCCACCAACCAAGGAGGAATGTTTGACTTCCTGCTGACAGCACTGGAGGTGAGGGAATTTTTTTCCACTTGCAGCAAAGCTGGGCTGGGATTGAATTTTAGGGGCTGGTTTTGTGCCTGGAACAGGAGTTGATTTTCCCAAAGAATCTGGAGAATATCCTTATCCTTCACTGACAGCAGATTTAATCCTGAATTTGGGAGCAGCACAGCTTCTTTGGCTGCAAGAGCTCTTATTTTGGCCCCAGAGTTCCCAAATTTTAGCCCCAAAGTTGCCAGATTTTAGCCCCAAAGTTCCCAAATTTTGGCTTCAAGGCTGCCAAATTTTGCCCCCCATGTTGCCAAATTTTGGCCCCAAAGTTGTTAAATTTTGGCCCTGAAGTTCTCAAATTTTGACCCCAACATTCCCAACTTTTGGCCCCAAAGTTCCCCAATTTTGACTCAATGCTGCCAAATTTTGGCCCCAAGTTGCCAAATTTTGCCCTTGAAAGTTGTCAGATTTTGGCCCCAAACTTGCCAAATTTTGGCCTCAAGGTTCTCAAGTTTTGGCCCCAGAATTGCCAACTTTTGGCCTCAACATTCTCAAATTTTGGCTCCACAGTTCCCAGAATTTGCCCCAAAGTTCTCAAATTTTGGCCCCAAGATCTCCAATTTTGGCCTCAAGCTGCCAAATTTTGTCCCCAAAGTTGCCAACTTTCTGCCTCAAAGTTCCCAAAATTTGCCCCACAGTTGTCAAATTTTGGGCCGAAAGTTCTCAAATTTTGACCCCAACATTCCCAACTTTTGGCCCCAGAGTTCTCCAATTTTGGCCTCAGACTTGCCAAATTTTGGCCCCGAGCTGCCAGATTTTGGCCCCAAAGTTCCCCAATTTTGGCCCCAAAGTTTTCAAGTTTTGGCCCCAAAATTGCCAACTTTTGGCCTCAACATTCTCCAATTTTGGCCCCACAGTTCCCAAAATTTGCCCCAAATTTCTCAAATTTTGGCCCCGAATTTGTCAACTTTTGTCCCCGGGTTGCTAAATTTTCTTCCCAAATTCCCAAATTTCGTCCCTGAGTTCCCAAATTTCTCCTTACTCCCTTGTTCTGCTCCTTCCCAGTCGTGCTACGAGCACATCCAGAGGATGAGGCTCCACCCGAGGGAGAGCTGCCCCCTGACTCCCAGCTCCTGAGCCCCAGGATCCCAAGGGAACATCCTTCCCGCTGCACTTTCCCGCTGGATGAGGAATCCCTCGTGTCCCCGCTGCTCTGGCTGCCTTTCAAAGGGAAGAATTCTTGGATCAGCTGCGGGTTTCCTTGGAATAACCCCGCTCCTAAAGCACACACGGGGATGCCGATGGATAAAAACCCTTCGCTATCCAACCTCAGCTGGTGGTTGGGAATCTCTTCCCGAGTGGAAAAGGTTTCTTTTGGCCCTGTGGTTTCGTTTTCCTTGTCCTGCAAATCCCAGGGAGCTCCTTTCCCTGCTCTGGTGAACGGACAGAAAGGAGAAGAGTTTATTGGAGAGAAACCACAGGAATTCGGGGGGGACCATTTCTGGTTGGAGAGGTCACCCCCACATTCCTAAAAAATCCATTCCTGGAGGGCAGAGGGGGTTTCCCCACTCCTCTTCCTCCCTGGGCTAAACTCAGGACCTGTCCATGGCCTTTGAAAGCTGCTATTCCCCAATTCCCGTGGTTTAGGAGACTAAAAGATCTGGATTTATTGAAGCCTCAGGGAATGTCACACCCGCACCTTGGATCTGCTCCTGCTGCTCTGGAATTCTGCAGGGATTTCCTGTGGGCTTGGAAGAAAAGGGATGTTGGTCTGGGGGGAGAAATCCCAACTCCTGGGAAGAGAAAACATGCAAACACCTGTTTTTCCTGCTGCTTTTCCGAGGGGATTTGTGCTGACAGACCCCCCCAGACGCCAAAATCAGGCTGGGATTTAGCCTTCCTTTGGAAAATCAAAGGGATATTTGGGATTTTTTTGTCCCTCCCAGACCTGTGTGAGGTGCATTTGGAGAGGTTTTGACACAGATTTTAACCTGCTTTTTTTTTTTCTTTTTTAAATTATTTTTTAAAGTTTGACTTTGAATTAATTGTCCAGGTGTAACTAATGAACTATCCAGGCACAACACAAGCTCTTGGCTCCTGTTTCTCACATGGATTGATGCTTTAATAAATAATAACACTGATTACAAGAATTAATATATTGGGATGAGAGTCTCCTACTGGATGTATTTAAATAAAGCTGGTTGGAAGTTTGAAGGGAGATTCCAGGCTTGCCTCCTCCTTATCCCAATCTCTTTGCTGCCTTCCAGCATTTGAGAATTTGCTTGGATTCGTTGATTTTTCAGGAAGCACGGGGCTCCTTTTCCTGCCTTGCTCATTCTCGGGGGTGAAGGGATTGGAAGTGCCAAATCTGGATCCATCAATCTCATTTTGCATGGTTTAACCACCAGTGTCACAACATGCAGGATTGCAAGGCCCAAAAACGTGCTTTTCCTACCAAAAACCAGGATTGGCAGCTCGGAATCTTTGTCCCTCACCTTTAGGAAATGTCCCTTTCCTCATTAAAAAAGGAGGAAAAATCCAGCTTGAGTTTTGGAGAATGGAAAGAGCCCCAGCTGTGAAATTGGAATTGTGGAGCTGCTTCAAACTGGTGCTTTTCCAACCTCCTGCCAGAAGGTTGGAGCACTGGGATGGTTTGATCCAAAATAAAATAAAAATGCTGTTTTCTCCACGTTTTTTCCATGCTCTGGGTGAGGAGTTTTTCATTCCAGGTACCACTTGCTACTCGAAAATGCAGATTTTTTTTTTTTCTTTTCTACTAGAAAAAGGACATGCAAAAAGTGCATGCGAGTACAAACCCATGGAATTACCTAGAAAACGAGGGAATTCTCAGCCTACTCCGGGTTTCTGCTGTTGCACTTCCTAAAAATACAGTTTGTAGCTGCTTTTCCTGGGGGGGGGGGAACAAAATTGAGGAAGTTCTTGAGCAAGAATTCAAGTGAGCCCTAAAGTGGTAACAGTGTGCAGCCATTTGTGCTTCTCTGGAAGAGCAAGAGGGAGGTTTCCCCGGGAATATTTGGGCATTCCAGTTGGGAATTGTGCTGTTGGAACCATGCAAAGGGCTTCTTGGTTGGTGTGTGCCCACCACAGTGGAGCAGCTGAGAGGAGGTTCCTGGCTGACTTCCCTGATCAAAGAAATCCCTGCTGTGCCTTGGAATTGTGGGTGGGAATGTGGGAGTGCATTCCAATTCCTCCTTTTCAGCTTGGGGGAGAAGGGGTGAGGGGGTCACATGCTTAATTAATAGTGCTCTAATTGCAATCAGGGCTCCAGTGTCTTAATTAGGATGTTAAATTTAACCCTGGAGCCGTTGGAGGGCTGATTCCACCTGAGAATTCCAGCTTTGGAGGACACAAGTAGAGCCAGCACTTCATCCAGGCTCCAGCTCAGGCTTCCAAGGAAGCAAACTAGCTCAAATTCCCTAAAAAAAAAAAAAAAGAAGGAAAAGATAAGCTGAGCAGCACCTGGAAGCCTTCAAATCACGGAGCTGTGAGGAGACAAAGCAGAGCTTGAGTGCAGCTTTGCTCTTGGAAGCACAGGGAATTTGGTTATCCACAGGGAACTTCTGTCCCCTTTCCCTGACTGGGAAGAAAATCCTGCCAAGATTTGGGGGATTTTTCTTCATCTGGGATCGTTTTTTCCCCTCCTCCATCCAACGACTCCCAAATGAACGTCCTGCTGAACGCGGGGAAGCTCTTTGCGCTTCAGCCGGTGACCGGGGAAGGAGGAACCTTCTCCAGAGCCTTTGGGAAAGGTTGGTTTTCCCAAAGAACCCAGGGAATGGGAAGTCAGAGCAGGGCTGTATCTATGGCAGCTTTGAGGTGGTGCAGCAAAGCCTCGGGAGGGGGGGAGAGGGAGGTCAGATCCAGCTTCTTGAAATCCTCGTTGGCGCTCAGGGACGTCAAGACCTTCACCGTCCTCTTGAGGTCGAACACGGCGTGGAGCATTCCCAGGGTGGAAATGGCAGCTTTGGAAGTGTTCTTGGCCAAAGCCTCGTCATCCAGGCCCTTTTCCAGGACGGAAATCCTGTTCTCTGCAATGACTTTGAGGAAGTTGTAGAACTCCTTGTAGTCGATGCCCGTGCAGGACTTCATGATCAGCTGAAATCGGGGAGGGGTTGAAACGGAAAGAACACTTAAATTTCCAGGGAAAAACATCACCAAACCATGTTATAATTGTATGGAATCATAAATCACCATGTTTCATAGAATTCCAGGATGGTTTGAGTTGGAAGGGACCTTAAGGATCATCCAGTGCCACCCCTACCATGGGCAGGGACACCTTCCATTATCCCAGGTTGCTCCAGCCTGGCCTTGGACACTTCCAGGGATCCAGGGGCAGCCCCAGCTTTACAGTCAAAATTCCAAAATCAGATTTTATCAAGGTAATAATTATATGGGATCATAAATAATTGTATTTAATCATTTTTGGTGATCTGTGTTTGAAGCGGCACCGGCCCCAAAAGCAACGGCCTGATTTTAATAAGGACTGAATTGCTGCGTTTTCCAAGGAGTTCTGGAGGAAATCCATCCAGGAACAGCCTCCAGAAATAAGCTTTGCATTTGTTTCATGGCAAAGATTTTGGGAGGGGTGGAATTCTCTCCCAGCCAGAGCCAGGAGAGCACCCAAGGTACAACCCTGCTCAGCAGAAATACGGGCTCTTAAAGCATCAATTTTCAGACATAGAAAATTCCCCTAAATTATCCTTGTTTTAAATTCACTGTTTCATAGAATTCCAGGATATTTTGAGTTGGAAGGGACCTTAAGGATCATCCAGTCCCAGCCCTGCCATGGGCAGGGACACCTTCCACTGTCCCAGGTTGCTCCAACCTGGCCTTGGACACTTCCAGGGATCCAGGGGCAGCCACAGCTTCTCTGGGAAACCCATCCCAGTCCCTCCCCACCCTCACAGCCAACAATTCCTTCCCAGTATCCCATCTAAATTTATCCTCTTTCAGCTTAAAGCCATTCCCCCTTGTCCCATCCCTCCATCCCTTGTCCCCAGTCCCTCTCCAGCTCTCCTGGAGCCCCTTCAGGCCCTGCAAGGGGCTCTCAGCTCTCCCTGGAGCCTTCTCTTCTCCAGGTGAAACCCCCCCAGCTCTCCCAGGAATAGTCTTGAAAGGAGAAGTTGAAGGAGAGCAGTTGAAACATTTGCTTTCCAAACAACATCCCAACCTGGACATACCAAATATCCTCTGGCACAAGCCATTCCCAAGCTTATTAAGGGAATATTTTGACTTCCTGCAAAATGAAGCTGCCACCAGCCCCTAATTCTTTAGGAAACATGTAAATTCCAGGTAGGAAGGGAAGGAATTCTGTGTCTCAGAGTGCTAATAAGTGACACAATAAATCCCTGGAATATCTGATCCCTTTGGAGAGTCAGATCCATGTTGTACCTGGCACTGGAGGTGCCAATCATCCATAGGATCCTTCCACTGGTTGATCTCCCTCTGGACAGCTGCCAGTTCATCCTGCAGGAAGCACCACATGATGGCCACGTTGCAGCCGTTCACCCAGTTGTGGTTGATGGAGATGGTGTCCTCCTGAGGGAATAAAT